ATATGTTTACAACATAATTATTATATTTACAAATACAAATAATTAAATAGCTAATAAGATAACATAATTATACGAAAACACAAATACTAAATTAAAAATTATATTTTAAATAATAAAATTATGTTACCCAATTAATTTTTTGTTTTAAATTAATTTAAAGCTAAACTAAATTATTAATACAGACTCGCGCGTAGCGCGAATATAAAATCTAGTATACTACAAATATTCCATACGTTTTATCGTTGTTGGCAATTATACCGATTAGCCATTAAAATGATACCGACAAGTTTTAGCAATATATATATATATATATATATATATATATATATATATATTAACTTGCTTGAAAGTTTCATTTGAATTTTAAACAAAAAATGTCTCAGTTGAATTTCCTGTTAAGTATTTGATTGTATCCTAATAAGAAAATTAATGGAGCATCTTTGTTAGCTAAAGCATCACTGAATTCACTTTTCATTTTATTCGTTTTCAGTATATACTGTGTATGTACAATAATTATTAATTAGTTTTTTATATGTATTTTAGCTTTTGCAATTATTTGATTAACTTAAATATTGTATTATAACCTTGTATTTTCAAGATAAAAATAATTTATCTTTGTAGAAAAACATAATGCAGTGATAAATTACATCAGGCCCAGCTTTTTTACTTTTCTCAAATGCAAAAAGTGTATTTGCAGTAGATAAAAATAAAATAAAAAAATGCAAATTTTTGGCTATAACTTAGACCAACTTTCCATAAAAACAAGGTCTATTGTGCAACAATATCTAAATTGTTCCTACAAACCGAACTTGCATGGAGTCCAAAAAATAACAACAAGACTGTAACTTATTTACATATTTAGGAATTGATAGAATGAAAATTAATGGAATAACATGAATTGAATATAGAGAAAAAATGGAATAGATCTTTTCCATTCATTCTTTATCATTTTTGCTATGAAATAATTTTCTTTGTAATCTGTCTATTTATTTTTGGAGTTGATGAAAATAACCATTTCATTCTATTCAAAATAAATGTAGAACTTGTTTTATAGATCATTCCATTCCAAATATTAATAATCTAGTTGCACCCTAAGTATAGGGTGGAAACAAAAACAGAGGGTTTAAGCACCAATCAGTCGCCAAAAAAAAAACAATAGGGTTTAAGCACCAAAACGACGCCACTTCAGCTAGCATTTTGGACATCCAAAGCAAATCTGACCTATAGTCTCCTTCACCAAAACCACTCCGCTTCGTCTCTAAGCTTTTGAAAGTAACCAAAATCTCCCCTATCAATGGCGTTAATTCGATCAAAACTCCGTCTCTCTCAAACCCTCTCCTCCATCTCTCCCCACTTACCTAAACCCTACACAACCTCTCTACACCATGACCACGAAAACGACGAATCCGCCGCCACCACCATCACCACCCCTATCTTATCTCCAGAAGACACAAAAACCGTAGAAAACCTCCACTCAATAATCAAATCCCACTACCGCAACAACCCCACACCAACAAACGACACCGTACTCCTCCTAAACCCTACCTTCACCCTCCCTTCCCTCTCCCTCTCCTTCTCCCAAATCCCCTCAACAATCTCCCCTTCCATCATCCAATCCGTCATCAAAAAATCCGCCTCCGTCCGCCACGGCATCCCTCTCCACCAATCCCTATCCTTCTTCAACTGGGCCACCTCCCAACCCCAATATCATAATCCGTCCCCTCTCCCTTACAACGAAATGATCGATCTCGCCGGCAAATCCCGCCAATTCGACCTCGCCTGGCACTTAATCGACCTCATGAGATCCAAAAACATCCCCATCACCATCGAAACCTTCACGATCCTGATCCGTCGCTACGTCAGAGCGGGATTACCCTCCGAGGCCGTGCATTGCTTCAACCGTATGGAGGATTACGGCTGCGTCCCGGATAAGATCACTTTCTCTATTGTTATCAGCACTCTGTCCAGGAAACGGCGCGCCAGCGAAGCGCAGTCGTTTTTCGATTCGTTGAAAGACAGGTTCGAGCCCGATGTGATTGTCTACACTAATCTCGTCCGTGGTTGGTGTCGCGCCGGCGAGATTACGGAGGCCGAGAGGGTGTTCAAGGAGATGAAAGTCGCTGGTGTTGAGCCTAATGTGTATACTTTTAGTATTGTGATTGATGCCTTGTGTAGATGCGGGCAGATTAGTAGAGCGCACGATGTGTTTGCTGATATGTTGGTTTCGGGGTGTGCTCCGAATGCGATTACTTTTAATAATCTGATGAGGGTTCATGTGAAAGCCGGGAGGACGGAGAAAGTTTTGCAGGTTTATAACCAGATGAAGAAGCTTGGGTGTGAGCCTGATACGATCACTTATAATTTTTTGATTGAGACTCATTGCAGAGACGAGAATCTTGACAACGCGGTGAAGGTATTGAATACGATGATTAGGAGGAAGTGTGAGGTGAATGCTTCGACTTTTAATACGATTTTTAGGTTTATTGAGAAGAAGAGGGATGTGAATGGAGCGCATAGGATGTATAAGAAGATGATGGAGGAGGCGAAGTGTGAGCCGAATACTGTGACGTATAATATTCTGATGAGGATGTTTGCTGGGTCGAGGTCTACTGATATGGTTTTGAAGATGAAGAAGGAGATGGATGAGAGAGAGGTTGAGCCTAATGTGAATACTTATAGGGTTTTGGTTACGATGTTTTGTGGGATGGGGCATTGGAATAATGCTTATAAGTTTTTTAGGGAGATGGTTGAGGAGAAGTGTTTGGTGCCGAGTTTGTCTTTGTATGAGATGGTTCTTGTTCAGTTGAGGAAAGCTGGGCAGTTGAAGAAGCATGAGGAGTTGGTGGAGAAGATGGTTCAGAAGGGACTTGTTGCTCGGCCATTGTAGGGAGGAACTTTCCAAGCTTTTTTAAATCAGAATTTTGTTGTTCTTTTTATTTCAAGTAATTTTTGTTTTCAGACAGATGTGTTACTTCATTTTGGGCACAACATTGGTTAACGAGCATCAAGAAGTAATAGTGTATTATTTTCTTTATCCAAATATATCAGACAATATGTTCTTCTTTTTCTCAGGATATGCAAATGTTTTTGCAACAATTGATAATAAAAATGCAAATGATTTGCCTATGTATATAGTTTTAGTGTTTAATCCAAGGTAATTAAAGTAGGTTCTTGCAAATCAAAGAGACAAAACACAATCAAGCAGCTTCTGTGAACGCTTGGCAAAAACCATGTGTGATTTCAAACTAGACCTCCAAAGCTGTTTTGGACAAAGAAGAGATCATAACAACAGTTATGTACTTTTGACCCAAAATAACAACAGTTAGGTACTTTGGTTTGAGGATAAAGGTTGTCCAAAGCTATCTTTTAACCCCCTCTCCGCTAGTAATATATCTTCTCTTTGCCGAAATTGGATCCTTCGCGTACACATTGACAATTATAAAACGGGACTTGGAATAGTTACAAGTTGGAAGCCAAATTTATATATATGTTTCTGGATGATTTGATGTTTATGGTCGGCTCTGTGTGTACGTAGATACATTTCTTGTGATATTAGAAAATGTAGTAAACAACATTAATTTTAATCGAACATATAACAACAGAAGATTCAAAAGATTGACTATTTAAAGGGGGAAAAAAAGATTGCAAAACAGCATTTAACATGAGAAGACTAAAGAGAGGACGTTATCCGAGGAAGTAGTTCTTGATGTTCAATATCAAAATGTAATAAATTGGTATATAGATGTGTTGGCAACTATTTAGAGATGTTTTATGTATATTCTGACCTATATATAACATCATTTGTCATTTATTGACCAAAAGACAAAACGACAAGTGTTCACTTTGCAAATCGCTTTCAATCTTTATAATTTATCGGTTAACTTAGCTGTTCAGTTCATGTACTAATTATAATTTTAAATTAAATCACATAAAATTAAACATGAAAATCATGTGGCTGCTTCTTATCCTCTAAATCTGAAGTACAATACATGTGGAATTTAATAATCCTCCTCCCATGAAAGTCAAATAAACCATTAAAATTAATGCCGCGTAAAAAGAAGAAGAACAAGACCTATGAACTAAACATAAACTTCAGCGTTTAATTTCATAAACCGGTTCAAAGTCGGTCGTGTAAGACTATAAGCCATAATTATCTTCTCCGGTTTTCAGTTAACACTTTATAATGAAGTTAATGACATTCAAGGTCTTCTCCGGTTTAGCTCAAGCTTTGACCAAAACCCCCTCCGTGACGTCATCAACGCTGACAGTTTCAATAGTGATCCTCTGATTCTTTCACTTTCTTAGAAATTTCAGACACAACAGAACATATAAAACCAAACAACCTCTGTTTCACATCCCTATGTAAATAAATGGAAAAAGCATCCAATAACAACAACAACAACTCCAAGAAACTCTCGACGATGCTTCAAAAAGCGTTGACAATTGGTCACAGTGCGACGCCGTTTAGTCCTGTAAGAGACTTCCGTCACAAACGTACGATTTCCACGGCGAGCAGAGGATACTTCTTCTCTAGTCCGTTAACACCGTTGCTTCCAACGTCAGCTAGAGCTAGGAGAAGAACCAAGAGTAACGGCGGTGTTGTTGTCGCCGAACCTGCTTCGCCTAAAGTGTCCTGCATCGGTCAGATCAAACTCGCTAAGTCGAAACGTCCGGAGAAGATCACGAGAGCAGCTAAGAATCTCGAAACGTCGTCGTCTTCTCTTGTTAAAGAGGAAGGCAAAGGAGGAGGAGGAGGCTGGTCGAAACTAAAACGTCTCTTCTCAAAGGGAAGAACTCCTTCGAGAAAATCCTCTGCCGCTGTCATTGAACATCCTGTCGTGGCGGTGGAAGAGGTTGGGGCGCCGTCGTTGGATAAGATGAAGAAGTTTGCGACCAGCAGGGAATCTCTTGGTGGATTTGATTGGAGTGTGGAGATGAAACGTCAAGAAGATGAATCTCGAGTGGATCATCGCCGAGGTTATTCTGCTGATGAGGAAGAGAAGATGATTCCGTGCTCTGTAAGCATGCCTCTGAGTCAGAGAGAGGGGTTGAGTTTGTGTCCGAGAGAGAAGAGTGAAGTTAATTTGTGGGAGAGAAGAACCGTTGATCGACCAAAACCACTTCAAGTTAAATCTTGTTATTAAATTTTGTATTTGTTACTATTCTATGTATACATGTTTTTTGTGTGTGTTTGAACTTGGTTTCTACGTACTAGGTCTGGATTTTGTGGATAGATCAAAACGTTTTTATTTATTTTCGTCTAGACTATACATATATCGAGTTTAAGAAGCGAAATATTGGCCTATGTGTGTTTGTTTTAAGTAATTGTTATTGAATTACAACCAATTTTTGTTCTCACTGAATTTGACTCTAGTTTGCTAGCCAGAGGAATAAACTCTATAGATATCGAAGGTGATGACTGGATAAATACATACTAAAGAAAACACGTGAATAACAACGCTCAAACATTGTCTCTTCAAAAGCCAAGATGATTGAAGCAAGTCATCGCATCGCTCCAAGTAGTGATGTTTTTTGAGCAAGGGGTTTTCAGAAGTAGGGATGTTTTATACAACCTCACCAACGAGCTATTGGTCTAGTAGTAAATGAGTGACTATAGTAGGCAGAGAGGTAAAACAACATTTTTACTTATAAAAAAAAATGTTATGCAACCTCAGGGCTTTTGTCTCATATGTCATTTTAGTTTTCCTCTTTCATCCCTTAAGAGTCAAGACTCATCTAATCCCACAAAATATCATAATCAAGCTTCCAAGTCGAATCAATATTGCAATTAAGATGTTTTATTCGAATACTATGTCATGATATTGTAATTATATGAGCTACAAAAACTAAGGTTGGTGTGTTGTTAACTCAGCTAAAAATTACCAAAAACAAAGTATAGAGGTCACATAATCAGTGCTTATACAACTTCGGCTGGAATCTAAAAAAAATAAATATGCTTCTATGTGCATTGGTAAAATTGAAGTCAACAATCTTTTTGCATTAGTAAAGGTAATGAATCAGATTATTGGTTTTACATGTTACATTAATAATAACCTCGTTACGAATTATTGATGGTAGTTAGAAGATTTTATTTAGTTTGTCAAAAAGCTTAATAAATGACAAAACTAAGGCCCGATGGGCTCTCGCTAGGGAAATGGAAGAATACTCAGCGTCGGCGACCATCGTTCCGTTCGACCGCCCGATACCGTTGCTCCGGGGACCAATTCCCGCCGGAGGCTCGGAATCAGGTCAATACGTTCTAGCCTTCCGATCACTGGATTCATGGGCCGCCGCTTACAAGCGTTGCGAAACCCTAATCAAGGAGCAGTGCGAGGAAGGTGCCAAAACTGGGTGCGCCGTCTCAGCGTCCAACAACTGTAAGCCTCCATGGTGGCGGAGATTAGGCGGTGGCGCCGTGGTGGACATGAGGGAACGAGACAAGTGCGAAGAGCGGGAGTTCAACGAATGTTTGGGTGTCGCCAAGGACAAGTGCTCGGGATTCGCTAAAGAAAAGTGCTCTGCTGCGTTTTTAGACGCAAGAATCGCGGTGGCGACGGAGATTGAGGGTTTGGTCTGGCTAGCGTCAGTGCCGGAGGACAGCAAGTGGTTGGGTTCACTGGTTCATGCAAGACGCAAAACCAACCGTAGAGCCAGAGATGTTCTAAAATCTAAAAAGACATAAACTATTTCATTTCTTTGTCTGATAAGCACTTGTATTGCTTCCGACTTTGTTTTTCTTCCAAATGCTTGATTAGCTCTTGCTTTATCTCTACTTAGGGCTGGTACTTCTGATATTCGGGTCGGATCCGGGTAAGATCCGATCAGGTCCGTCTTTTCGGATAAATGAATTCTATATCCAATGGTTACTTAGTAAATTTTAGTTTGGGTTTTCGATCGGATACCACCGGTTTCGGGTCGATTCCAGATACCCATTTTTTATGTGAATCATATCTATATTTCAAAATAAAATAATTTATAAAATAGAAAAATATGATTTTGTAATAATTTTAAGGAAAATGAATAGGAATTGAATATATATTAATATTATGCATTTAAGTATAACGAAGTTGAAGTAGCATAGTGGTTAATCATACTAATATCTATCGGGTAAATTGACCAAAAGCAAATTCAAACCGAACCAGTTTATTTCAGGTCGGATCTAGTTCGGGTAATCGGATACGGTTAAATGTCCCAGCCCTATTTCCACTACTAGAAAACCTTTTTTACAATAAAACATAAACCATCACATGCACAGAATAATCAAATTGTTCTTCATTTAAAACCCCACCTCTTTTTATGTTATCTTGAATCAGTGAGCACCCAAACACACCATTCACTCAAGTAAGTAGTAATCATTCATGGTTACTTTGTTTAGATTGAAATTCTCTCGTACATACTGTCTCATTCTTGAGGGTATGTCAAGCTTGTGTGGTGCTCAAATTTGCATTGCATCATGTTTATGGAGAAATCTTTGAAGGTGAGGAAGAAAAAATGACAAAACAAACTTAAAATATTAAAAGTGGCCGGCCCATCAGCCCAAGACACTAATGTTAGTTCCCAATACTTTCATCCAACATATAGACTTAAAACGAATTTGAAGACACTTTGAGACGAAATAATTAACTGGAAGCAAAGGTGGGCCTTGGCTTTTCTCCTTAGGTTGGAGATTCGAGATCTTGCTACAAAGACCCGCTAGATAAGAAGATAGTGACACCAGGACCACTATCTATACATTACATATCCCTCATGTCCTTTTTGACGTGAATCATCATCACGATCTGGAACTGGAATACGATCGCGACAAAGCTGTTTCAGTATAAAAATTATCAATCAGACACTCGAGATCAGAACAGTGAGTTGGCCATAATCGAGCAAAACAAAAGTGAAATGTCCTTTGTTATACATTTCTCCAGATCTAACCATAGCTCGGAAAGAATCACGTGAATTCTCTTTTTTTATCCAGAAAAAAACAAAACGTACAGGATAATACATAATTTTCATAGCATCGGACCACGCGCGTCTCCACTCTTCCCAGTTACTTCCCAACACTATAATGCCTTTGCGACAAACTGAAAACCTAAAAAGCTACTTGATTTCTTGTCGCGCAACGCACACTTCTCTTGTCTAATTTAAAATAAATAAATTAACACAAACAAAAATCAGACACTGACTCACACTAATCAACTACTCTCAAACGCTGTCGACACCGAACTACAAAGTACATTAGTTGACTAAAGTACCCTTCTAACAGTAATAAGTTCTACTATAAGTCTACTACAACACTGTCTCGTCGGCGGCGCTAAGCTTCCGGCGGACTAATCAATGCCCATCACTTATTTAGTAAAAAAAAGTAATGCTAAGATTGAACACGGTTTTTAAATTTAAAGGCGTTACATTGACCAAGCAATCTCAACTAAAAATACATAAAAATAAAAAAGAGAAATTAAAAGACAAACTGACATCGGAAGACGATTCTGCTTTTTTTAAGAAATAGGTTTCCGGCAGAGAATCATATGCATCGGAGAGAAAATTTCAGTTTCGCCTCCTCTGGACAAGAAATCAGCAGTCTTAAACAACATCTCATGAACATCAACGGTTCCTTTAGGCGCAACTCCAACCGCAGACAAGATCTGAACCACAACGTGGTTCCTCCAATAAGCAAGCCTTCCCATCTTAAGCCTAGTCCACCACGGCTCAGCCGGCGGAGCCGCCAGATCCTTCTCTTTCACAACTTCAAACCCAACTTTCTTAGCCGCCACGGCTATGTCAGAATAAGCCCTAAGCCCAGGAAGCGCGTCTCCTCTCTCTATCCCTTGGATGACCTCCACGTGTTCCTCATCATCAGGATTAAACTTAGCCGTCGTGACCCACTCGTACGAAACATAAAGAGATCCCGGTTTCAACACCCTATAGATCTCCGCGTAGACTTCTTCAAGTTTCGGCGCGTGACACGTCGCTTCTATCGAATACGCGCCATCAAAAGTATTATCACCAAACGGCATCTTGAGGAAGTTACCACACACGACCTCGCAGAGCGCGTCGAGACCCGCTTTCCTGTTGTGGTCACGCGCTCTCTTAACCTGATACTCGTTTATCGTGATACCAACCACGTTGGCTCGCGAGTGAGACGCAATCGCTCGCATCGGACCTCCGACTCCGCATCCGACGTCGAGGATCTTCTGCCCCGGTTTCGCTTGGATCAGATCCACGGCCATCTCTTCGTGGAGGCGCGTGGCGTCGCGGTGGGATTTGCCGCGTATGGAAGGGGAGAAGTGGAAGGACTGTCCCCATCCCCACTCGTAGATGTCGGTGACGAGGTTGTAGAACGTGTCGACGAAGTCGGGGACTTTGTCGGCGGTTTCGATCTCTTTGGGACGGCGGAAGAAAGACCAGTACTGTTTGTAGTTGTCTTGAACTTTCTCCGCGGAGATGGAGCCGCCGGAGAGATCTAAGGCTCGTTTGCCTTTACGCTCGGCTGGGCCTAGGACGCAGAGGAACCAGTAGATTCCGCCGGCTATGAGAGCTCCGGTGAAGAATAACGCTACAGTGTCCATTTTTTAAGGGGAGAGAGAGAGAGGAGAGACGTTTTCGTTACGGGTAGGTAGAGGAAGTCAGAAGTGTGGTAATAAATAAGATGTGAACATATTTTTCTGTGGACTCTTTTTATTTCGCATTTAAAAAGAAAAATTAATGAGAAGAGTGATTTGGCCTTTTGACTTGAAAAATCTAAGATTTTTTTTTCTTTTGTGAAAACAAGTATATCCACATTCTATGACCAAGCAAAGTATTTAGAAGAAAAAAAAACGTTTAGTCAAATGAAAATTTATTGCAATCTGCATGCAGTTTTGTTAGTATTAAACTTTAAAAAAAAACAAAAAAAAAATCATATTTCGTGTAGTGAATGAAACTGAAAATGAGATAAAAATAAAATGCAAGGAATGGAAATTTATTGCAATCCTCACATAGTTTTCATTAGTATTAAACTTAAAAAACAAAAAAAAATCATTCCGTGTAGAGAATGAAACTGAAAATGAAAATGAAATAAAAATGAAATGTAAGGAATGAAAAGTTATTGTAATTTTCACGCAGTTTTCATTAATATTAAACTTAAAAAAAATCATTTCGTGTAGTGAATAAAACAGAAAATGAAATGAAAAGAAAATGTAAGGAATGAAATTTATTGCAATCTCCATGTAGTTTTAAATTTAAAAACAAAATAAAATTATTCCTGTGTAGTTAATGAAACAGAAAATAAAATAAAAATAAAATGTAAGGAATGAAAATTTATTGCAATTTCCATACAGTTTTCATTAGTATTAAACTAAAAAAAATAATAATAATCATTGCGTGTAGTTAATGAAACAGAAAATAAAAATAAAATGCAAGGGTCCCCAAGGGCCAAGGTAACGTCCAATTTGAACAATGGCCGTCTTGGAAGGAATCACGTGAGGTGGGAGAAGAAAGAGTACACTACAGTTTGCTCTCCTCATATTATCACCAATAATTGAAAAAGAATTGAAAAAGAAAATAAGATTGTTGCATTCTCGTTACCGAACAAATATGCTTTTACCCACAATAATAAACTTGATTACAATTTGGAAACAAATGAAACGTAGTCATTGGTCTAAGAAATTCATTAAAGTGAATGTCAAAGACACTTGACTTCTTGAGAAACTCAAAAATGTACTGTTTAGAAAAAACTGTTCAGATGAATAATCATTCATCATGAAATTAAATTAATATCAACAAAGTAAAACTGATGTATAGTAATGTCTATTTCTTTTGACAAAACAACAAAAAAACGAAAAAGCAAAGAAGTGATGGACAATGAAAGAGAAGTACCGACCAGAGAAGGAGAAATCACGTGGAAGCTTCTTTTTTTATGAAAAGGCTTTTCGAATTGTTTACAAAAGTCGATTCATTGATCTGCTCTTATTTCTTTTTGTTGTTGTCGTCTCCTTCTTGGCTTCTAATCAGAGCACATTTCTTCAAAAGATTCTCTTTCTCCTCTTCTATAACCTTTTAGATCTCTAAGTCTGTGCAGTGCAGTGTGCACTGTCTCACTTTTGTATCTATTTTTTCTTTGGAAACACTTTTGTATCTTTCCCACTCAAATAACTGTTCTTTCTCTAGTGAAACTGAAATTTGGCACTAGTTAAATTGAAATTAGGCAGTAGTGAAATTGTTACTTTAGTATGAGAGCACCTTGGAGTTCTTATTACATATGTGTGTACGTAGCCATGGGCAGAATAGAATATGATTATTGCACGTAGCCATGGGCTTTACTAGCCCAACACCCAAGTGGTTTAAATTGAGGCACTTCTGATCTTTTTGGTGAAAAGCTTTTGATCCTCATTCACTAGCTTTCTGGTTTAATGCAATGCACTGTTTAGTAAGTGAACTCGGCATACCATAAACTAGTGATACGATAAGACAGTTGAAATGCTAATGGCCAAAAGCATTTGGACTAAAGACTGGAGTTTAATTTGTGATTCTGGATCTGAACACGTTTTTACATAACCTAACAAGGTATAGTTAGAATTTTATGTTCCGATAAAGAGTCTAATCTCTGGATTTTAGGTTCCAAAATATAGCTGAATTATACTTCTAGTTGTGCTGGTAGAGAACCCGGTTACAAAGATGCTCAGGTTTTACATGTTGTAATTGGAGTTGCTAGTTGTATATATACTATAATATGTATGTACGAGAATGATTTGTACCTATTACTGTTGATAAAATATAATTATTCTAACTGGTTTTACACATGTTAGATTTATACATGTCGCAGATGGTTTGGTGTACTATTTACATATGCGTTATATCTGAGTTTATACATATTCTAACTTCTAAACGAGTCCATGGATGATAATATAAATGGATTCTTACATGTTGTAGTTCAGCTTATACATTTCATAACTGAATTTATATGTAGTAAAGAGACATGTTTACATTGTATAATTAATTTCTTATATGTTGTGGCTTGCTATGATCTGCACTATCTACTAAAGTCAAATCCTGTTTGAGACAAAAACTCCACAAGTGTTCCGATATATTTAACTCAAACTGCTCATTTTTAATATTTATTTTTTCCTGCATAGTATTCCTAAGAAAACTTTAGGGCGAGACAAAAATTTACATATATAATTTATAAACCAAGATAAAACCATTTTTGGAACCAATCATGTATACTATAACAAACAAATCACGGTCCATTCGATTCAACACTCTTTAGAATTACAAAACATCTTATGTAAGACTGACAGAGAAGTCTCTACTTTGGTTCACAATTTATTTAGTTAACGGTGACTTTACCGACCATACCAGCACCCTGATGCGGCGCACAATAGAAGCTGTAAGTCCCAGGCTCAGTCAAAGCAACCTCGTACGTCTCTCCCGCAGCGTTAAGTAGATCTTGCTCGTCCATCGAGATTTTGCTCGCGTCAACACTACTTGGGATCTCGTCCTCATCGAACACAACGTTGTGTGGGAATCCAGCATTGTTCTTGAACACGATCTTCTATCCTTTCTCTATTGTAAACTCGTTGGGAACGAAAGCTAACGCTCCATCTCCTGATCCTAAGAGAACATCTATCGCCATAGCGTTTCCAGCCAAAGCGATGGAAGCTGCAGCCGCTACGGCCGCAACTCCTAAGTCCTTGAGTGATGACTTGACGGTGAGCTTTGATGATGTTGTTGCCGCCTTGGTGGGATTTGTGGATTTGAGTCCGGTGAACGATGGGATTGCTACGGTGGATGAGGTTACTGAAGCCATGATGAAGATTAGAGGTTATGTTTTGTTATGTTTGAGTTTTATGTGGTGATACTGATAGGGAGAGAATGAGATAACGCAATGCAAACTCCATACTATCTGTAGAACGCGTTGTGATTGGTTGGTTTTAAATGCTGTTTGTCATGACGTGGCAGTGTGAGGTGGAGAAATGAGATAAGTTTACTCGATGACGTGGCATTTTTTTCTTCTAAAGATTGGACTTATTATATGTGATGATTCCAAATTGCTCATGATATGTGGTCTCGGTGTTTTTTTTTACGGATCACAGAAAAAACCATAACGCAATTCTTTTTGTAACACATGAACTAATGAAGGTGAAAGTAAAGAGAACAAGAGACAATACAATCATACAAAACTACAGCATCAACAATACTATTTATTACTTTTTCAGAAAAAAAAAACAATACTATTTATTAGAAGAATTTATTTTTTATTAGAGATAATACTATTCAGATGGATGCTGAGCAATGTTGATTGAAAATAGCTAGACGATGTTGAAAGTGACTTCATGGTCTCTCCATTCGCCATTGTCCAAATATCTCTCATAGAACTCTACTTCATAAGTGGGTTTCACGGTCAATGCTGTTGTACTCGTTGTTCTGTAGCGTCCTTCTTGTATCGGAATCCAAATATAGTTTAGTTCTGTTACGTCAACGTTTACAAAAAATGCGGTCAGCTTGCTTCCTTCGACAGCTTCGGTTGGATCATACATAAACCTCTCAGCAATCTCCCTAAGCGATGGTAATTGTTTGTTTTCATATTCATCAATCATCTCAGTGAAAAAATCTTTCAGACGTAAATCCTGCACAATATTACCAAAACGTCACTATTAAAAAAAAACTTGCATTTGGAAGAGATCATAAACAACATGATCTTGTACTAATTTACGTTGGCAACGTGGGCATCGAGTCCGGAAGAAGAAAGGGTATGCACACCAAAAGCAACTTGTTCTGTATGAACATATGGCATAGTTTGAGATACTTTGCTGATATGGTACATAGAGTTTGAAGTTATGTCTGCAACAATTAGGTTAAAGGTTATCCCGGGGTATCTCACAGGGTCTTCAGCTATTTCATTTGCAAACTCCTCTGGACTCATGTGACCCTGTAAAATGTAATAAAATGATTTTTTTTCTTAACATCCATTTTCAATAGATTAAACAAAACAAAAAGAAAAAAAAACAAGATTTAACAAAACCTGCAAGAACTCAGCAGGAAAAGACACGCAATTGTTTAAACCGTCAAAGATCATTCTGTCCACAAGAAAAGCAACTCGGCCATTTCTAGAGATACCACACCATGTCTCTCCGTTCGGTTGAGCCCTGCCACTCAACACCTCGCCGTTCCAAGCCGCCCCGTTTATCATCCTTTTTAACCACACGAATGTAAAATAAACACTCATCATCAAAACAATGTAATAAAGAAATTAAACTCTAAAAACGTCTGAATAAAATTAAACTTGCCAGGTATCAAAGTTGTCTCTGTTATACAGCAGCGTTAGTTGCCCTTCTCCCCATTCGAAGGCGGCTATTCCCATTTTTTTTTTGCTTTTAGAACTATCTTCTGAACTCTGTTGTTTGTAGTATGATTGTGAGAGTTGCAAGTGTCTCCTTTTATAGTTTCTGATATGCTTATAAATGGTTTTCTAGTGGCACACAGGTTTAACAATACCAGAGAATAGTAATCTTTAGAACATCTCCAATGCATGCTACTATATTTTAGAGAAAAATATCAAAGAATGTTACTTTTTACCTCTATATTTAGAAGTGAAAATAACATAGCTCTATATCTTTCACCGTAAATAGATAAATTTTATTATAGAGACATATATTGGAGTAAATCCACATCTATAATAGAGATTCATTATTTTAATGTAGAGATAAAAATAGAGATGGATTGAAGATAATCTTAGCTAAAACGGTTTTAGTGAATAAGTCATGTATACACGTGGAGTGAATTTATAACATAGATTGCATTGAGTTGGAAACAGATATGTAAAATCAAAGCGTTACCTAAGATGAAAACATGATTTTTAATTTTTTTAGAAATGGAAACGTTTTAAAAACTTTTATATATAATATTTATCTATTGTTCAATCCGAGAATTCTATTTATCTATTTAGTTTATATAATAGAGAAAACCAATTTATAGTATATTTGTACAGATTTTATACATATTTTATCAAGGTAAATCTTTTAAGTAACTTTTTTGAAGTTTTTGTTCTCTAAATAACTCATAAAGGTCAAAATAATCAAAATATATTTTCATTTAAAATATACTTATTTATGTAACTAGTAACAACCATGGAAGAGTAGTAATGAGAGTTTTATTCTATTTTTGTATTTAAGGTGAGATTGTTGATGTGTTGGTGATTACTGACAAATCAATCTCACTCCATTTACATTGATCACCTAACTAATGAGTCATTTTAGGGCTAAAAGCTACAATAACTAAGTAGCAACAACCATATAAGATTTTTTCTTACTAATGGGATTAAATAAATATAAATGTCATAATTTTAATTTCTTTCCGGTTTACTTTTGATTAATAACTGATTAATATTGAGTCAATGAGCATGAGGAATGACTAAAGTTACAACAACTAACTAGAAACAACTAATGATATTAGAGAAGGACAGATACATATGTGAAACGTGCGGCAAAATATTTAAAAGAGAAGAGAATCTAAATCGTCACCGGAGACGACACACCCTTCCATGAAGACGATTACGAAACTGAGGAGAAATGGAATTTCGAGTAATGCTATAAACGTTATGATGTTCATTCTGTTCAATTTCTGTATAACCTAATGTTACGTGGCATAACAAAAATATGTTAGACTTATATTAATATGACCCTCCTTATTTATTATACTACCTTAAATTTACAGGAATTTTTTTATAAAACGCCAACGCTTATTATATTAAACTAATGCAATAAAAATTTACTAAACTGATAAATCAAGGATTTACTTTTTTGAAATCCTTAATGGTTTTTATTTTATGATTGTTGCGATTTCTGGTTATGATTTATGAATGCTCACAACTTCTTACATAGAGGAAAAAAAGTTTGGTTTATGATACTATAACTTGGTTTATGATACTCTGTACAAATATACTATAAATTGGTTTTCTCTATTATATAAACTAAATAGATAAATAGAATTCTCGGATTGAAAATAGATAAATATAATATATAGAAGTTTTTAAAACGTTTCTATTTCTAAAAAAAATTTAAAATCATCAGAATTGAACAGAATGAACATCATAACGTCAGAATTGGCCTATGTGTGTTTATCCTCTTTTCAATTCTATTTGGGTATTTAATTTTATCTCCGGTTTATTATTTACTGATAGCTGACCATTGAGCTAACTACAATAACTAGCTAGCAACAACCAATGGAAGAAATTCATTTTATTGATGGGATAAAATAAATTTCATAATATTAATTTCTTTCCGGTTTTGTTTCGATTAATAGCTGACTAATGAGTCAATGACCATAAAGGACTAAAAACTACAACAACTAACTAGCAACAACCATTCAAGAAACGTATAAGAATTATTATTATTTTCTTAAGAAAAAAGAAAACTAGGGAAGTAAATAAACTGCAGATAATATATATATTGAGAATCTACAAAAATCAGTACTCATTATTAAAAGAGCAAAGCAAACAAAGCAAGAGAAAAAAAAAACAAAGCCATACAATTTTTTTTAGGATATAAATATATATTTAGACATTTTGACAACTTTTAACCTCATTAAATCCTTAAGATGAAATAAAATTGGATTTCATAACAAAAATATGTTAGACTGGATATCATAACAAAAATATGTTAGACTTATATTAATATGACCCTCCTTATTTATTATACTACCTTAAATTTACAGGAATTTTTTTATAAAACGCCAACGTTTATTATATTAAACTAATGCAATAAAAATTTACTAAATTGATAAATCAAGGATTTACCTTTTTGATATCCTTAATGGTTTTTATTTTGTGATTGTTGCGATTTCTGGTTATGATTTAGGAATGCTCACAACTTCTTACATAGAGGAAAAGAAGTTGCAATGATTGGTTAACACCAAAATTTACAACGATTTGTCACCAAATGCTACAATTACCAACAATTGTAATAGCCCATCACCAAAAATTGCAATGGTTCATCACTAAAAGTTATATTCACCAACATTTGCAATGTTTTACATAAGCAGTTGTAACTATTCCACCAAACACTATTCCTTAATCGGCTGCAAAGATTCACTTGAACCGCTAATAATTCTATGTGTAATATTGATTCAGTAAATAAAGAAAACATATCAAAACTGATACATAAATAGTTTTTTTTTAACCAATGAAATAATTAGGATAAAAGATACATATTTATAAATTTTGTCAACTTCTTTTAAACTCATGCAATTTTTAGAATAAAGGAACACATTATTAGTATGCAAAGACACATTTTGGACATTTAAACAAATATAATTATTAAAATAAAAAAACACAATTAAGATGAAATTACATACTTATATATTTTGATAACTTCTTTTAAACCAATGCAACTTTTAAAATGAAAATATACATTTTAAAGATGAAGAAACAACATTTAACAGTTGTTTACTTATTATAAGTCGTATTTTTATAATATACTAGGGGTTTGTCCGCGCTTCGCGCGGAAGTTTTAATATTTTAAATTTTAAAATTGGTATATTTACTGTATCTAAAGTAGACTATGCTAATACTATTTTTAAAATAAATAAATCTCTAGATTATTGTATTTAATATGAAAATTTATAATATATATATCAAGTTTCAATATATATATATGTATATATATATATCTTAATCACCACTTTTAATACTATAGGATGTATTAAAATATAATTATATTAGTATAACTAAATTGATCAATTCCATTATTTGTTTAAAATTATGTTGATTTTGGTTATTATGATTTGAAAATTAATATTAATGTGGACTAT